ATTGTGTTAATCACTTTGTATTTCTTCCCTAATGAAAAATGTAGTGACGTTGTGTGATCTGGGTTTTTGTTTTCCCACGATGCACCATGGATGCATGGACATGAAGAAGAATTTCGTACCCTACCTGAAGAACTGTATTGTGGGTAAAAGAACAGGAAGACATGATGGTAAAAGATACAGATGCCTGCCAAAAATCTTCAAAGTAGAAAGGAAAAGTGTTGGAGAACTGTGCTTGTTGTTTCTGTGGCCAAACAGATAAAGGAGTTGGAGATTGACCCGCAGACAGCCACATCAGTTTTTTTAATACCAAGAGATCTGTTGATGGATAGTCTATCTGAGACAACAGTGATTTGTGGGCCTTCGAAGCAACCAGTGCCATTATGAGTAAGTGCTATTGCCTAGTAATTCAATAAAGGTGCCCACATTAGAACAGTATCCAAGTTGTGTGATATTGATATCTGGTCCAATATATTTAGACTTAAAAATTAGACTTTCGTCGCCAATTTTGTTTTTGATATTGTTTATTCATGGCATGTGGATGCCTCTGGCATGGCCAGCATTTACTGCCTATCCTGAATTACCCAGAGGGCAGTTAAGAGTCAACCACATTGCTGTTGGTCTGTAGTTACGTGAAAACCAGACCAGGTAAACATGGCAGATTTCCTTCCCTCACCGACATTAATGAACTAAAATCAGTTCTTATGACAATCAGTGTTACAAGGCTACCATTGGGCTAGCTTTATATTCAATTCAAATTTCATCATCAGCCATGATAGGATTCAAACCCACATCCCCAGAACATTAGCCTTGCATTCTGAATTACTACTTCAGTAACATTATCACCACACCACTGCTTCACCAAAGATTGCTCAATCTTTGTCTATATAAGTTGCCCACTAGATACCATTATCTCCAGTTTTTTTTGCAGTGTCTTCTGCAATCATCTTCCCCGTCATCAGGAGGCTGCACTTGCAGGTAGCCAGAATGTTACCGCCGTCCTGATCTGCCTGCACACACCCCCTTCTCCTGGTTGGAGGAACCTCCTGCGGATGTGACAAGAGCCCCATGTCATCTGGGCACTACTGGTCTAACTCCCTCCACCCAAGAAATAAATCAAGCCTTACTGCTTGGCTTCTGAGTGGAACAATAACAACTACTGCCTTTAACAGCTAGTGAGGCCTCCACACCCAGGCTCAAATATGCAGAAACCTATACAATTAGTTTGAAACTCAGTACTCATTCTATCATTGCAAGCAGTTTCCCCACTTTGCTTGCTGTAGGCTGTTCATAACTGTGGCCCTGTTGTGATGAAATTGTCAATCAGACTGGATTCTATTCCATGCAATTACCTCTCCACAGACTCCCACCTCTCTCTGTCATCAGCTCCTGACCAGAAAACCAGAAACTATTTGAAAGCTTGTTCCTAAAAAACACAAATCACTGAGATTTTAATGCAAAGAAGCAGAATATTAATCGCAGGTGGATGAGAATAATATTGTTCACACAAAATACCACTAAAATTCCTACCACACAGACCTGGAAGTTGTAATGGACTATAGGTGATGAGAATGTGTTGAGGAACACAGAACTATTTTTATGTTATTTGGACAAATTGAGGTTCCAAGTCCTGAAGAAAATTCTTATTGTCTTCTCTTCACATCAGTTCACATTGCTCTTAGATCAAGATGACCTGCGATTGACCTAGAGTTCATACTTAACATCTTACAGAATACAATTAATGCAGTGGGAGGAACAGAGTTGCAGGTTTCCTTCCTGTCTAATCACTCAAAGATTTTACAAGTTTCACATCAGGTTTTGTTCATGTTAGATTAATCACTTCTGTTTCAAATTAGACCCCAGGCTCACCATATGATGAAAGGCTAGTTTTAGATCAAAACCGCAAGCTTTTGCAACAATAACATTTTCATGCAGTTTTTAACGAATAAATTTCTTTACTAATGCATTTTGTATACTTGTACCTCTGTTAACTTTATGGGAAAATACACCACAGTCAACAGATTGTGTGCATTTTTAATCAATCAATAATTATTTACCTCTGGAGCAGGTGGGTCCTGAACCCAGACCTGTGGTCCCAGAGTTAGGGACACTATGACTGCAACACAAAACCCCAGGTGTGGTCTCACAAAGTCCATGCATAAATGCAGTATTTTATCCCTATTTGTGTAGCATTCATTTCTACATATAATATTTTACTAAACTATACCTTACAAATAAAATACTAATGGGAAAAATCCAAGGGTTTGGAATAGTCTAAGGGGCCATATTGAGTTTTCCAGAATGCTCATGCATTTATTGTGATGAAGGCTCATAATATATTTTCATTATTTGGAAATTTAGATTCTAAATTGGAGGCAAAAGAAGATTTTAGTTTTCAGTTTTCTGAACATCTGACTGTTTTCTTTTTAAAAAGGATCAGAAAGTGATTTTGAACGATCAGATAAAAGCAGCATTTCCAGTAAACAATGTAATTTTTAGCTAAATGATTAGCAAGTCCCCGAGGGGTAATTGCTCAGGTGATTGCTGATGACTTTCATAACCCAGTGGGTGAGAGGGACTCAGAAACAGGCTCATTGCAAGAGAAGGGATACATAATAATCAAGGTGGTGCGAGTAGCAGAAACCAAACCAGTCAAGGCAGGCCTGGGGAGAAATCATGAGCTGCTTAAAAAGAAAAGTGCAGAAGCAGAATGGAAGTGTCAGAAAGGAAGACGTCCTATAAAGCTATTGAAGACATGAGTTTAAGGAACCCATCTCAGTAGTAATAGTGAGCTGATTTTAAAGGTCTCATTAAGAGATTAATTGGAACAAGTAGCATTAGGTAAATGCACAGAAATCTGTCAAAAAGGAAACTGATTATAGCCATGCCAGCTGAGCAAAGAGGTTTACTGTGGAGGTAGGAATGAGTATGCACTGAGGTTTGAGTGTCTGGAACGTTAGTCTTAGGGTTGAATTTTTCTTTTTGATACATGTGAGTTTGTTTCAAATAGTTCTTCTATTGTGTATTTTTTTTTGTGTGTGTAATAACTTATAATCTTCTGTGAAAAGTACATTAGCAGCCTCTTGTGAATATATTTAGTGAGTGACCTCAAAGGTAACCAAAAGGTAAAAGAATAAAGCTTACGAGGTTGTTGATTTGCTTGCCTAGCTGGCTTGTTTTCTTTCAGATGTTTCGTCACCATGCTAGGTAACATAATCAGTGAGGCCTCTCATGAAGCAAGGTTATTCTACTCTGCTTGGAATTTATAGTGTCCAGTCTGTTATGGAGAGTAGTGTCATATATAAACCCATACAGATCAAAACCGGAAGTGACACTACTCACCATAATGGACCAGACAGTACAAATTCCAAGCAGAGTAGAATAACATTGCTTCATCGGAGGCTGCACTGATGATGTTACCTAGCATGGTGACAAAACATCTGAATGAAAACAAGCCAGCTCGGCGAGCAAGTCAACCACCTCACCCACAACCTGAGCTACAAAACTTGGCTAAAACTTTAAATAAAACTGATGAATTATCAACTCAGGTCTCACTCTGGGATCTGACTTGTTCAATATTGCTACCAGCTTAGATCATAACAATACATATTAATCTAAGGAGAAACGCATTACTTAAAGTTATTTCAATATCATTAACGTGTGAAACATGCACAAATAAAAATAGTGCAGAAAATATTAAAACCATTGCAGTTTTCTCCACCAGGTTTGACCAGAGTTGAATGAATACACAGAATTCAGCTTCTACAATTAATTTAATACTTATTCCATAGTGAAGCTTGACATTCCTGGGTTGAGGAGGATACTGCATTAGTAACATAGGGGCAGGTTGGATTCAATGAGACGTCCTTTTTTGACAATAAGAAATTGGAATGGGCACTTGAGGCTTAGTCTCAAAGTTAGTCAAGGGAGACTCGATTCTGTGGTGGTGGGGAGGTGGTAGTGAAAATCAAAGCTGAATTTATAACTCCTTCCTTCTGATGGGTGTCTGAGATGCACTCTTATTGGCACAGGCAGACAACCACTGACAGTTAGATGAACTCCATCTTGGTTCACCAATTTCCAGTGATATGAGAGATCTGCAAGCACTTCCCTGGTATTGGTGCCAAAATTAAAGACCTGTCTAGGATCTGACTTATCTGATGATAACATCAGCTGGGATCATTGTGCTCCATTTCCTCTCCACTACAAAAATCCCAATTTCGACTCCATAAGGTAATTTACTTCTGTTTCAACTGCCAGTAAATCTACCACCAATACTCCAGTTCGTACTTTGTTACCTTAATCTTTTGTGTTCTTCTGAAGGAATAGAGCCTACCCATCTGTTCTAACTCTTTTCATAGATAGAACTGCCAGATGCCACCATCATGAATGTTTAGCTGAGCTCCGATCTACCCAAATCAGCAGCAACATTGGAACAACTGCAGAAGGGAATGAGCTTGTGATGGACAATCTTACCACCTTGTTAATCATTTATTCTTTGATGTTATTTTAATCACCTATATGTTTATTTACGTTAGATGAAGAGTGTGAAATGGATATTGGCATTTGAACATTGATTTTATGAATAGTTGTGGTTAGTCGTTTGCCTGGACAATCTAACCACTGCCCCTTGACATTCAATGGTGTTACCATCACTGAATCCCCGACTATCAACATCCTGGGAGTTATCACTGATCAGAAACTCAACTGGGTGCACCACATAAATGCAATAGCTACAACAGCAGATCAGAGGCTAGGAATACTGCAGTGAGTAATTCACCTCCTGACTGCCCAAACACTGTCCACCATCCATAAGTCACAAATCAGGAGCATGATGGTATACTCCCCACTTGCCTGGATGATGCAGCCCCAACAACACTCAAAAAGCTTGACACCATCCAGGACAAAGCAGCCCTCTTGATTGGCTTGCATCCACAAACATCCACGTCCAATGCCAAGTAGCAGCAGTGTGTACTATCTCCAAGATGCACTGCAGAAATTCACCAAAGATCCTCAGACAGTACCTTCCAAATCCTCGACCACCTCCATCTAGAAAGACAAGAACAGCAGAAAAATGGGAACACCACCACCTTCAAATTCTCCTCCAAGCCAATCACCATCCAGACTTGCAAATATATTGCTGTTCTTTCACTGTTGCTGTGTCAAAATCCTGGGATTCCCTTCCTAATGACATGGTTGTTCAACCACATCAGGTGGACTACAGCGGTTCAAGAAAGCAGCTCACCACCACCTTCTCAAGGGCAAATAAGGATGGGCAATAGATGCTGGCCAGTCAGTGATGCCCACATTCCACAAAAAAAGAATTTTTAAAATTAGCATTTTAAGGTTCCAAGTTATGCAGACTTTTTGCAAAGATGATTTTCAAAGCTGTTTCATAGTGTCAGTTTCATGGGAATATCAAAGTTTTGCAATACTTGTTCATGCTTCATTTATTCTGTTTACTGAAGGAATAGGACACATGAGGGATATGAAGGGGGCATGGCAACTTGGAAGGGTTTGGGAGAAATGAGAGGTATGGAAGATGTGCTGACATGGAGGAGGCACGTGTACGTGGACACACATGGGAGAAATAAAAGGGCAAGGAGGAAATGATGGGGCACAGAAAGGGCATGGAGTTTGTTGAAGTGAAGGGGTGAGGTGTGTAGTTTATGAAAATTTAAGGGCTGGGTAATCACATTCACAAAGGGACCAATGTCCCACTGAATGGAGTTGAGCCTTCTAGCCTGCCAGCTTTGGCATTCATTTACCTTCATTGTTGCCTCAAGCCTGTATCTGGAAGAATTGGGCCTATATCCACCCTGCCCCGTCTCCCCAGAACAAAAATAATCAGATTGCACAGTTATGATAGGACAGACATAGATTTCATATAAAGTTTCTTGAATACCAAAGGAAGTACCCATCTGTGTTATGACTCCTTACATGTAGCACCTTATAAGAACACTGGTATGACTATATGGTTCCATCATCTAATAATTCTAATCTAATAACGTTCAACCATCAAGCAGGTATGAAAGGAGGAAATTAGGACAGAGGATAGTATTTGTTATTGTAATGTATTAACAGGTGTCAGACATTATCTTATACTTGATCATTTATCATTTACTATTATGGTGCAAGAAAAAGAAACCCCTGGCTCCAGAAATTTTCTTGGATAACTGTTCCAATTTGTCTCGGTCTACACGAGTGTCATTGTTTTTAATTTAAGAATTATGTTATGTGGAAAAACTAAATTACTCAAAGCAATTTACTAACTTGTGCATCAAATAATTTGACCTGGATATGTGTGATCTCCATTAAAAAGGTTAGGTTCAAAGACATGGTTTATGGGTAGATTTTATGATTTAAATTTTCTCAGTGGGTGCAGAAATGGTTTTTAGTGTTGTATATTTGTAGAGATGCACAGTATAGTTTGCCTGCGATTGTGACATTATCTAAATTGACCTACAGAAGTTGTCTCAAACCGATTCCATCTCACATTACAATTCAGTACAATTCAGGCAATCTGGAAACAATTAAAACATCATTTATCAACATCAGGGAATTGACCGTGGCAGCTGCCACTACCCAAGATTAAGCATGTATTCTGGCAATGTTAAATGAACATTTACACACAAAATGTTTCCTTGCTTGGAATGACATTGAGTGTCTTGGTAAGGGTTAGCTTAAGTTAGCAGCTCTTATCCTAAAGTTGGTCATTGCATTAAACTAGTGATTAATAAATACAGTGTATAGCAGAAAAATAGTATTCTGGTGTATTCATCTGTAATTTTGCATGATATTTCACATTGGTCATCATTCAGCGATGGCACTCTCATCTGTAGGTTAGAATGCTGTCTTTCAAGTCCACTGACAATTCTTTGCAATTCTAGTGTTGAACTCTGATTCTGCCTGCCCTTTCAGGTGGATGTGAAAGATTCCATGGTCCTATTTTAAAGAGTAGGGAAGTTTTCACTCTATCCTGACCAGTATATAATCCCTCAACCAACAGCATTGTAACAAATTATTTCATCATTATTGAATGCTACTGATGGAACCTTGCTGTGTGCAAATTGGTTGCCATGTTTCCTGCATTATAGCAATGAGTACATTTTAAATGTGGACTGAAAAGCACTTCAGATTATTCTGAGACTGTGTAATGAGTTATATATTGCAGGTTTTCTTTCCTATTAACCCTTTCACTGCTAATCTAGCACAAAATCATAATAACCCCACAGTAAATGTCAAAAACAAATTATAGGCATAATTAAACGTTGGGCTGGATATCACTGTACAGCCCAACTCTTTTAAAGGCCAAATAAAAACTGAAAGAACTGTGGATGCTGTAAATCAGGAACTAAAACAAAGTTGCTGGAAAAGCTCAGCAGGTCTGACAACATCTGTGAAGAAAAAAATCAGAGTTAATGTTTCGTGTCCGGTGACCCTTCCTCAGAAGCCGGACCCAAAATGTTAACTGATTTTTTCTTCACAGATGCTGCCAGACCCGTTGAGCTTTCCAGTAACTGTTTCTTAAAGTCCATCTTACACAGGCCTGACCATGTCATAACAGGAATAGAATTGGACTGAATCCATTCCGTTCTGTTCCGTTCCGTTCCATTCCATTCCAGTCCAGACATGTTCTGGCCTGTATAAGACGGGCTTTAAAAAAGTGTTGGGCAGAATTCAATTCCAGGATTCACATCACAGGCGATGTTGAAGGAGATGGGGAAAGGGAATGGGTCGCGAGACTGCGTACAGCTGACTTTGCCAGTTCCATTGCCAAGGTGGGATGTTTAGGCTTCTATGACCTTCATGAAGTTGGGCCAGCTTTTCAAAGCTTTTATAGACAATATGATTCATGCCAGCTCAGAGATGCCAGGAACAACTGTCAGCCCTGGTTGGAAATGGGAATCAGTTGGTAAATTCAAAATGTGTTTCCAAACTCATGTACCATAATGAGATGTGCATGCCAAGTTTTCAATACATTGAGCTTTGTTTTGAACTGATAATTGAGCATTCAATTGAACAGATTTGTAAAAGTGGATTAAATCAGAGCCAGCATCAGTCAACAAGCAGAAAAGTATGCATGGATGGTCTTGGCACAAGATAAATCATGGTAGCCGATGTTTGGATAATTTCTTGTGTAAAATGTAATGGACCATCCAGGATTGAATAGGAATAATTAAAGTTAGAATTGTTAAAGGTGATTTCAGCCATAGGTGAGCTGTGGCAGATGCAGTCTGGTGATGTTATGGAGGTGGATTTAGATGGTTTTAGTGACCCCAATAACATGCAATTAGAAGTGCATCTTCAGATCAAATACTGTGTCAATGTTGGGAACCATTATCAGGGAGACAGATGGGAACTGTAACTAGAAAACAAAATTTGTTTTGAAGAGTAATGATACTGGCTTTAGTCTGCCCAATATTCAACTGCAAGGAATTGCTGCTCCTCTGGTAATGGATGTCTGACAATTTAGAGATATTCAAAGAATTAAAAAAGATGCTGGTTAGAAAAAGGGAACAGAGGTATATCCTTACGGGGCATCAGAGATCATGGGTATGTGAATCAGAAGAGAAACCATTGCAGGTAAAACTCTAGCTAGAATTAGATAGATAGGAATAGCCCCTGGTAAGTACAATTCCATCCAGTTGGACAGTATAGAAGAGAGGCACTGGCCAAATGTAGCAAAGACTGCAGACAGAATAAGGCGGCAAGGAAAGATTGTTTGCCATTTTCGATCACAAATGATAGCATTTACAGCTTTGATAAGAGATGTTTCAGAGTTGTGACAAGGTGGAAACCTGATTGGAGGGATTTAAACCAAGGCTTCTGAGAACAATAGGCAAGAATTTGGGTCGTGATATCACATTCAAGCACTTTAGAAAGGAATGAAGGATTGATGATGTGGTGGTTTATGCTAATTGTTTGTAAGGATAGATTAGTGGGGAAAGGGTAAAGAGAGCAGGTTGTAGGCCTACTTGTAGCATAGGGGTAGTGGCTCTATCCCTGGACTGAGAGGCCTGAGTTCAAGTCCCATCTGCTCCAGAGGTCTGTATAACACCTCTGAACAGGTTGATTAGAAAAATAAGTCAAAAGAACAAGTGGGTTATATTAGCAAGATGACTTGGAGAGGACATGAGAGAAGACCTGAGAAAACAAAGTAGTTTCAAATTCAAGGCTAACACAGAGGGTAACCTTAAAGGAAATTTCCCCAGGTGACTAAAGGGAAAGAGGGGAAGTTGTAGAGGCAGTTGGTTGGATGGTCTGACTCTTAACGACAGCACCCATGAACTCATTATAATTAGTTTCAAAGGTGAAGATAGGAGAAACACTGAAAAGGTGTTGGCAGGTTTGCAATAGAGGAAAGAAGTCACAGCTATTTTCACATTTCAGAATGATCCCAGAATAAGTGGGCAGTTTCGGCAGGCTATCACCAAACCTAAAACAGGTAGTATTTTTACATTAGAAATAACAAGGTGTAGAGCTGGATGAACACAGCAGGCCAAGCAGTATCATAGGAGCAGGAAGGCTGATGTTTCGGGCCTAGACCCTTCATCAGAAATGGCCCGAAACGTCAGCCTTCCTGCTCCTACGATGCTGCTTGGCCTGCTGTGTTCATTCAGCCCTACACCTTGTTATCTCAGATTTTCCAGCATCTGCAGTTCCTACTATCTCTAGTATTTTAACATTCTTTGACTTTGGTCAATTCTTACCACTTGTTGAATCAAGGTAATTTCTTCAATGAATCTGTCCTACATACTGTAGGATTGCAAGTCCTATCCAATTCTGCACAATTGAGTCTAGCACAAATCATCACACGCAAGAAGGTCCTTGTCAACAGTATAATCTGAAAAAAAAGAAAAGGATAATTTTTATCTCCCGAGTTCATCATTCTTTTTGCTATGTGTCGTTTTAAGAAGTTTGTCCCTGTGTTTTGGTCAATTCATCACATAATAGTGTTTCAATTTATACTCTATTAATTGCTTCTTGGGCACTGCTGGAATTCATTCGTCTATTACTACTGTTGCAATTCTGTATTCTGCTACAGTAGCCAGATCTACCAAATATATTTTGATCCTCATTTTGCCTGACTTTAAACCTTCTCTTGTTTTGGCTTCTGCATCTAACATCTGGCCATTCTGAAATTTGGCAAACATTGAATCTTCTATTCTTTGTATCACCCACAGAATGTCTAGTTTGTTCCATCAAGGCTGAAGGAAAAGACAGTTTCTACAGGAGTTTTTTTTTCAAACCAGCAGATATCTGATTTAGCAGGGTGTCTCTCTTGGAGAACTGAACGCCATTTAGAACTTTGTACAATCCAGCAATTTAAAATGCCCTTACTGATCCAGGGATCCTCTTTTTGAATCTTTGCTACAGTCTGCTCAATCCAATGACGCATGTTGTCTGCAAAGTGGCCTTTGGTTTTCCAAAGTCTATCAAGGTCCAACCAAGACTCAGACATGTAACACACCAGTCAATCTCTTCCAGTTTCAGACAATAGAACTATCCCCAACAATAAGCATCTGGATTCCTCACAAATCCCAATGGAATCACTACATGGGATTTGCCCAAAAGGCTTAAACTTCCAGTTTAAACCCTGCATCAGAAGTAATCTGAAGAAGTCTCCAATTCAGAGTTAAAATCAGATTTTATCATCTTACGGTTCTGACTTACACACCTGGATAGTTTTCCAGGAAATGATACTCAGATTAAAACCTGCCCTACTGTCTGGACGTATGTAATTGACTTCCTCCCAAGTTCCCATGCAACCCCAAATCTTGATTATTCCTCTGGTCTCCCAACCAAGCAAACATCCTGCCTCCCCTGACTGAGCACCTTCCCCCTCCCCCTCCCCCGACTTCTCCCTGGCCAGACTAAACCCCCTTAACCCAACTCAACCTTCAACCAGCTACACCCACAGACCCACCAATCTAACTCAAATAACACCCCTTCAACCACCCGTCTACTTATTGTCTTTCTGGATTATTCCTTCTAGATCTCAACAAACTGCACCCCCTGCCAACTGACTACTATCCCTGATTCACACCAACCTGTTACTCATGTACCAAACCACACCCATATCTCCCCACCCCTAAACACTTCATCCATTCCCTCACCCATTTATTCTATATGGGCCTTCTGTCCATAGCTTCTCAAAGACACTCTGGATATTTAAACTGTTCAGTCACCAGAATATGGCAACTAGTGCTATTAGAAAGGATGCTGTCAAAAAAAATAATTCTCAATGGTGCTGTTTGTGAGAATTCTGCTCGTGGTGAGTTCTGTAGGATTCTCCATTGGAAGATGAACCTGAAAAATTTGAACACAAATAGCGAAGTGATTTATGCCTAAACTGGGTCAGAAATAGGGAGTCCAAACCAGATCCGAAGATTTGGGCCATCATAGTTCCAGTAAATGCCATCTAAGAACTCAATAAAAAAAGTCAAAACCTTCATCACTGTCCGAAAACAAGCATCCAACTCATAAAATACTTTAACTCTGGCTTTCTTTTTGTAGGAAATAACACAAGGGACATTGAAATAAAAACAGAGTAATGTGAAAGCTGGAGATACCTCCATTAGAGAGATATATTGGAATGAATCATTAACTCTGTCTCCCTCTCAGAAACTGCCAGACCTTCTAAGCCTCTTCAGCAGGGACATAACCTATATCCATATATACACACTTAATTCTTGCAATGATCACATGTTTAGACACTGAGAAATCTGGAGAGTAATCATAACCTGACTTGTAATGGTTTTCTGTCATTTTCCACAACACCAATTGGAATTGTTGTTTTCTGTTTGATTTTCATTCATTCATTCATTCATTCATTCATTCATTCATTCATTCATTCATTCATTCATTTCTAACCATCATCTTTAGGCATCCCCTGCTATTTTCTGCTCCCTAGATATACTCCAGAAGGCCCATTGGTGAAGGAAAGACTTACAATAAATCTTTACACAGATGTTTACTTACAAAGTCACATAATAGAAGCATATACCTCCTAAATGAATAACATTACCCTCAGGATGTGTCTGTTTAAAGGAATTCAAGTGAATCACTAGCAAATAACCAGCATCTGCATCCAATTAAACACAATTAATATACAATTAACATATAGAACAACCACAATAAGGCTCTTGTTGCTCAGTGATAGTATCCCTGCATCTTAACTCGGAGATCTGGCTTTATGTCCCACCTGATCCGGAGGTGTGTAATAACATCTTTGAACAGGTTGGTTAGAAAATATCCAGAAAAACTGCAATTATAATTGTTGTGTCACGACATTTTACATAAATTCGTAACTTTGATTCAGTTCCGAGGTCACATGAAATGTTTATCATATGCATGTGGAATGTAGAATTTATCAACAACTTAACCAAAATTGCACTCCTGGAGCCAAAGATAAAGTCAAGTTATTGTGTAATTATTACCTCTGCCACTATGAGCCTATGTAAAGTAATGGCTGAGTGTAATTAAATGGACATTTCAATTGTTAATACCAAGCCTACAAATATGTTAAAAAGGTTCTTCCCCAGTCTCACGTCCAACAATTCGTTGAATAGACAGATATTGTCTACCACATGGAAATTCAAACTGAATCCTCACTGCTTTACGACATAATCTCATCACATATGCAATACTCTTCAATAACTGAGGCATGAGATCTGTAGCACAATGATAATTTCCTTTCGCTGAGTTGCTACTTGATCGACATGGGAAGACTGATTTTCGTTAGATGTAGATCAGCACTGGGGAGAGAAGAAAAGGAGGCTAACATTTCATATTAGACTGTATAACATCTGTTCTAATCCCAGAATTTGAATGACGACATTATGGCTGGCAGTGTAAGAGTATTGATGTTATTGAAGTGAATATACATACGTATTCAGGATTACTACAAGAATGCACTTGTTCTTCAATGCTCTAGTTACTTGTGGGATTGCTAGAATTTAATTTGATATTGTTTTGTGATAATTTGACTCTTTAACATTTAAAGATTAGTCCAAATCTGATTCCTGAAGGAATTCAAATTTGGCCTTGAGACTTTTTAGTTTGAAAATACACTGAGAGTTTGATATTAGAACATCTGGGCATCTGTAAAACAAAATCAATAGATTATCACTGAGAGACAATGGAAACCCCATTTATTTTGCCCTGCATTATTGTTATGGAGGTACAGTTGGAGACGCTACAAAAAAAATCAGTCTTCCATAGATCATCTGTGCCCTTGGAGCCCAGTTACAATAAACAATGATGGACATCTATCATCTCTTGGACACTAAGATGTAATCTGGCCTCCAGAAGGTATAACAAACTTTCTGACTATTCTCACTTTGATGTCACTATTTGATACCACAATCGATTGGGGGCAGGTTTGCTACATTCACTATTCAGTCCTGATTTTCAGCTTCAACCTCAGAAATATGGAGACCATTTAGAAGGGACTGATAAGAATTTAGGGAACTGAAAAGCTGGAGTCTTACCACGTATTAGGCAGCAGTGAGACAAGATTCCATGCACATTTGTACACTGCATTAAGGAATTTTGATTTTATTGAGAAAACTCTGGCTATGGTATCAACTTTCATCTTGACAGGGAAAAGAAATTTGAGACACCAAATCCAGACTGGAGACCAGACTGCGATCTGACGTTCTTGCATAGTACTGGAGGAGAGCTGCACTATTAGAGGCGCCATCTTTTAGGTGAAATGACGAAGCAAGGTCACATGGACCTCAGATAGATACAAAATATCCCAAAAAGCAGTGGTTCAAAAGGGAGCTGGCACTTTTGGTCTGATCAGTAGTTATCCCCTGATCAACATCAGAATCTGATGATCTGATCATTTTTTCATTGCTGTGTGTGGGAACATGCCGTGCACAAATTGACAGCTCTGTTCAAAACAATTTGTTTGGTGCAAATCAGAACTCCAGAAGAGCAGCAGGAGGGCTAGGTTTGACTGAGTGTGGCATGAAGGAGTTCTAGTACAACCAGAGTCATTGGGAATTAATGGTAAACTTTCCATTGGTTGGAACCGTACCTAATACAAAGGAAAATGGTTGTTGAGGGTTATCATCTTACCTCTGTACATGTCTACAGGAATTCTTTGTGATAGTTCCCTAGGCCCAACCATCTTCAGTTGTTTTAATGCTCTTCCCTCAATAAGGTCAGAAATGAGCATGTTCACTGATGATTGCACAATGTTCAGCACCATTTGTGACTCCTCAGATACTGAAGCAGTCAATATCCAAATGGACCTGAATAATGTCCAGATTTGGGCTGACAAGTTGCAAATAACATTCATGCCATGTATGTGCCAGACAATGATTGCCTCCTACAAGAGAAAATCTAACTGTCACCATTTGACAATCAATAACATTACATTAAATAAATGCTCGTCACTTGGTGCAGTTCCAACAACACTCAAGAAGCTTGACACTATCCAGGGCAAAGCAGCTCTTTTAATTGTCACCACATTTACAAACATTCTCTCCCTCCACCACCATTGGTCAGTAAAAGTAGTGTGTACTAGCTAGAAGATGCACTACAAAATTCACCAAGGTTCCTTCGACAGCACCTTCTAAATCCATGATGAGGGACATGGGTATCAGAAACATGGGAGTACAACCACCTGGAATTCCCCTTCAAGCCACTCACAATCCTGACTTGGAAATACTTTTGTTCTTTCATTGTCAATTTGTTAAAATTCTGGAACTCCTTTCATAAAGTCATTGTCACTCCTCCTACAGTAAATGCAACAGTTCAAAAAGGCAGCTCATAACCACTTTCTCAATGGTAATTAGGGATGGGCAATAAATGATGACCCCGCCAGTGATGCTCACATCCCATGAACAAATTTAATAAAGCATTTTGGGACATTGCTGTTGTAAGAGAAGCTTTAGAAATGCAGATCTTTCCTTCTTCCTTTTTAAATGCCCTCAATTCTGCCTGGTACCTGATTTTTTTTATTTTATTCATTCACAGGATAAGGGCATTGCTGACTAGTCTGGCATTTTTTGCCCATCCTTAATTGCCCAGAAGGCAGATAAGAGTCAATCACATTTCTGTGGGTCTGAAATCACATGTACCAGACCATTCATATCTGACTGATACAATTCATACCTGAGAGACAGTGAGTGGAAGGACACTCGCAACGAAACCAAGGTGAAATGTTTGGTGAATTAAGATTAGACACATCTGTGACCTGAATCCACAAGGTTGCTGATCACTAACAAGGCAGCTTAGCTCATTCATGGAAAACTAATCTTGTTACCGGGAACTGTGATCCTTCCACTCTGATTCAATATGCTGATAGACTGAATACTTTCAGCTGAACTTGCAGTGGGAAATTTTCCAATGCTTATTTGAATAGTTTTAGCTGACTGAAGTCAAACAGTAAATATAGGATAAAACCTATTTCTGTCTAAGCTCTTTACACTTCAGGTATGTGCCTATGAAGACCTCATATTGGCAAGACATGCTCCTTTCGTGGATTTTGTATCGGTTTACTTGCAGTCTTAAACATGTTCAATGGATTTCTGAGTGTGTAGACTAGACAAGACAAAAACTCCTCCCTTTTCCTTCCTTTACTTTAGGTGGGATGTATTTTCTTGAATATCAAAGGTCATAGGAATTACTGTGTCCCCAGCATGTAGGAGTTTGAACTAACTTTGAAACACCCCTTGAGTTAACTAATGTTAACCCAGCTCCATCATACTACTGGAATTGAGTACCTGCTAGCCAGTTTCCTCAATGATATCATTAATACTCACTGTTCAAACAAAATATATTTGTCAAATAAACAGAAACAGAAAGGGCAACACCTGTTTGTGGAACGTCATGTTTGCCAGTATTATAAACTGACTACTGCTGATGAGACTGGCATTGGGATCATTATGTGGAGGTGCCAATGTTGGACTGGGGTGGACAGGGTCAAAAATCACACAACACCAGGTTATAGTCCAACAGGTTTATTTGAAGATTCCAAAAGCTTGTGTGAAGTGATTCAATTATCCTCTGGAAATTAAGTCACAATTACATTAGCAGTCACAATTTCTATTACCCTTCAGTATAATTAGGGATTAGTATCCCAGTTTTAGTTAAGAAACCAACAAAGACTTACATTGTAACTGTCAACCTAAGGACATTCCAAAGCACTTGAAAGGCAATGAAGCACTTTTGTAATGTGTAATATGTAATAATGTAGCCTGTCAATGCTGTATTGTTAAAAGAGTGACAACTTGTGCACAGAAAGATTCCCCAAACTGGAACAGCACATTAACCATATATCAGTTTTAGTGGCATTAGTCAAGAGATAAATATTGGCCTCTGGTTTATTGAAAAAGATTGCCAAGAAATCGTTTACATGTAATTCAGACGTGATGTCTCATCCAAAAGACAGATTGAAATAAGAGAGGTATTTCAAATAATTGCAGAAGCTGAAAAGAATTAATGTTTCAACATATCTGTTCAGAAGTTGAGCCAAATTCATCCTAAAATGTTAGCTGTTTCTCCCTCCACATGTGCTGCTAGTTCTGAGAATTTCCAGCATTTTCTGTTTTTATTTCAGATTTCCAGCATCAGTAGTATTTTCTTGTCACAGTATTTCAAAAGGTGAGCAATGGATTCACATGTGGTGATAATGGGCTGACTTAATTTCCAGAAGATAAATGAATCACTTCACAATTCTTTGCATCAAATTTCATCTGCCAGGCTGTCTTTGTCCTCTTAAAGTTTATCATCATTCCCCTCACAGGAAGAGGACGCCTTGCTATTAACAAGTATATTGGTATATATAAACAAGTATATATAAATGGGAAAACAATAGGAGGGACTCTAATGCAAATATCTCCAAGTTCTGTGGCAGAGAAAGCTTGACATTAGATGGAGCTAGAAATGGAGAGCAATTAAGTCCAGGACCGGAGTTATCTGAAGAATAGAAGGAAAAAAAGATAAGAGCTCACACTTTCTGTGGGCTTGGAGATCTGGGAGCTAAGCAAAA